CTAAAATTTTGAGAACCACTGGATCTTTTCTGGATTTTCTTTCATGTAAATTTAAGCTACTACCTACCTATGGTGCCATATTATCAAGAAAAAATGTAATATTTTAAAAAAATTCTAAATTTTCGAATTTTTTTTTTTGCAAAATATACCTCATAGGCGTGTTTCTGAGGCCGCAATATACTACCAGTTAAAATACTTGCACTTATTTCTGGGATACCCTGTATATTTAGATGAAAACTGGTGCCTGAGTGTTTTTTGACATGAGAAATTCGATTTCGATTTCAGTATAATTTCTATTTGTAGGGGGCCCCACATACATAATTTTTTGCTGTTTTGAAGAGCAATGACTTTTCGTCCGAACCTGTATAAAAGTATTGAGTAACAAAATACACATTTCCGTCATTTTCTACGTAAAAAATGTCTCTTGGTAAAAATCTCTGCGAGTAATGGTTCTCAAGATATTTGGAATCTAAATAGTCAAGATATGTCATAATTACAAAAATTATACATGTTGACTGGATAGTTATTACTCTGAAATAATAAATTTAAAATGTTTTTGTGCGAAAGATTCAACAGAAACTGTTTTATCGTATTTTTTCCCGAAAAATTCATGATTAGCTTAAAAAAATAAAAAATTCCCAAATTTATCATTTCGGCCAAATAACTATCATGTATACTTTTTGTCAATAATGCCATGTATTGACTATTTCCTTTCCAAATATCTTGAAAACAGTTGCTCGTAGCAATTTTTACCAAGAGACACATTTTACGTAAAAAATTACGGAAATACATATTTTTTTACTCAATAGTTTTATACAGGTACGAACGAAAAATTATGACTTTTCAAATGAATATAAAATCATGTAGGTGGCGCCCCATACAAGTAGAAGTCATATTGACAAGGAAATCAAATTTCTCATGCCCAAAAACACTCAGACATCAATTTTCATTTAAATATCGATGTTAGTTGAGAAATTATTTGGAAAAAAAACGATATAAAAATCTTTCTACACCCTGTATCTCCGAAATGAAGCATTTTAGGACACACATTTATACGAAGTGTTTTACTTATTTTTATCTGCAGAATATACTGCCGAAGTTTCCGGAATAGAATTCGGACCACCCTGTATACAAACAAAGAAGCCAAAGCAAAAGTAATCTATACTAATATATAAAATCCTTAAGTGACTGACATACTGATTAATCACGGTCCTGCTCAAACCACTCAACGTAAGAAGCTCAATTTTGACATACAGGTTGATTCTAGGGTGTAGAGGTTCGATAAGAAGGGATTTTTCGAAATTCCAGTTCCAAGAGGGTGAAACCACCCCTCAAATATTATATTTTTCATTTAAAAAACGGTCAAGTTTCTGAAAAAACGCTTAAACACGTATATTTTATTTTGTTTTTTTTACATATTGAAAGATTTTTTAAAAATGTATACAGGGTGTTTCGAAAAATCTGGTCACTGATTAAGCACGATCCTGCTTAAAGCGCTTGACGTAAAAAGCTGATTTTTGGAAAACGGATTGACTTTAGGGTGTAGAGATACTATAAGAAGGGATTTTTCGAAACCCGAATTCTAAGGGGGTGAAACTATCCCTGAAATATTAAAATATTTTTTATTTAGAAACCGGAGTTTTTCGGAAAAACTCTTAAACACGTATATTTTATTTTGTTGTTTTACATATTTTAAGATTTTTTAAAAATTTATACAGTGTGTTTCATAAAATATGACCATTGAGTAATCACGATTCTGCTTAAACTGCTTGACGTTTAAAGCTGATTTTTGGCAAACGGATTGACTTTGGGGTGTAGAGGTTCGATAAGGAGGGGTTTCTCGAATCTCAAATTTCAAGAGAGTGAAAACGCCCCTCAAATATTACAATATTTGTTATTTAAAAAACGGTTAGTCTTCCGGGAAAACGCTTGAACAAACATAATTTATTTGGTTTTTTACATATTTTGAATTTTTTTAAAAAATCATACCGGGTGTTCCAAAAAGTTGGGTAATTTCTTAACCACGATTCTGCTTAAACTGCTTGACTTAAAAACTTATTTTTGGCAAACGGATTTTTCGAAAGTCAAATTCCAACGAGATGAAACTACCCCTCAAATATTACCAAAGTTATATAATAATATCGCCATATTGTTTTTCCTCATGCTGACATAAATGTGAGAAAATTTTATCCAGTATGTATGTTAATGGAAATTCTTGCTTTGCTTTATCATCACCATTACAAATGATTGATTCGACGCGAACGAAGTCGCTAGGACCCGCTAGTGATATATAAAACAACTCCAGAGTTTCCAACTGGTAAAGGAGTACGACAGGAAGACGTGATATCCCCAAAGCTGTTTACAGCAACGCTAGAAGATATCTTCCGTCAACTATAGAGTGGACCAACATCAACTAGAAGAAGACCAAACCTGACATGGGACCATGATATTAGGAAATTAGCAGGGATAACTTGGGCCCGCGTAGCCAACAACAGACAACAATGGACGCAACTACAAAGAGAGTATCTAAATATTACAATATTTCGGGTGAGGGTGTTCTACACCATAACTGGAAATGGTTAAATAACCTGAGAATGATGATGATGATGATGATGACATTATGATATTTTAGAATAAGAATTTTATGGTAAAACTAGAAATGCCCTTTAAATATAATCGTAGCGTAGTATGGTAGTAGGTATTCGTAAAGTCAGCGACCCGTATCACCCCGTTTGTATATATTAAAATGCTATCTTCATTTTCTACCTTATTTAATATCTATGCATCCGTGGCGTTTGCCATTCCATGACCTTACTGGACTTTCAGCTTTTCATAGTAACTGCACTTTTGAACGCGACGTCAAATATTGTAAGGAAATATTATTTTGAATTACATTGCGATAATAACAAAAGCTTATTGAAACAGAATCTTTTGCCGGATGATAAATAACGTGCCCGTAAAGCATTTCTTTTGTTAAAATATCTCAACAAGTGGAAGTGGTTTTTGAAGGAAAATATACTGTTTCATAAGAAAATATTATATTAAATGAAGGCACTTCAAATCTCTGGAATTTTGATATCGGCTGAGATATTTTGTTTTGTGAAAACAATATAATTTGTTACCCTTTGTTTCTGTTTGCAAAAAACTATATAGCGCTTTTTATTACTGGTTCGATAGAAGCTTTTTAGAATTTAATTTAGGTACAAATTTTAATTATTCAAGTTAAGGTTATTTCCAGGTGTATTTACATTTAAAATGTTTTTCACTTAATTTTTTTACGAATAATTTGGTACCGCATACTAGGTATTTCGAGTCAAATTGTCGTTATGAACTGCATGTTACAATTTCAAATAAACCATATGCAAAAATGTCAAAAGTTGACATATGATATGTCATTCTATTTAGAATGTGATTTTCTATCGAGTAAAGTAAAAATATACCAAGGGTACCATTTAAAAATAAAAAGTTGTAGTCATTTCCGGTGAAACAGAAAGTGACCAAAAATAACTGAATACGTCAATCAATCCTAATTTATGTCATATACCTACTAACATACCAAATCTCGTTTTTTTTAATAAAAAAGATTTTCCTATTGTAAATACAATCCGGAAACGTGTAGATAATCTATACTAATATATAAAATCCTTTTAAGTGACTGACATACTGATTAATCACGATCCTGCTCAAACCACTCAACGTAAGAAGCTCAATTTTTGCATACAGGTTGATTCTAGGGTGTAGAGGTTCGATAAGAAGGGATTTTTCGAAATTCCAGTTCCAAGAGGGTGAAACCACCCCCAAATATTACAATATTTTTTATTTAAAAAACGGTCAAGTTTCCGAAAAAACGCTTAAATACGTATATTTTATTTTGTTTTTTTTTACATATTTTAAGATTTTTTAAAAATGTATACAGGGTGTTTCGAAAAATCTGGTCATTGATTAATCACGATCCTGCTTAAAGCGCTTGACGTAAAAAGCTGATTTTTGGAAAACAAATTGACTTTAGGGTGTAGAGGTTCGATACGAAGGGATTTTTCGAAACTCGAATTCTAAGGGGGTGAAACTATCCATCAAATATTAAAATATTTTTTATTTAAAAACCGGTGAGTTTTTCGGAAAAACTCTTAAACACGTATATTTTATTCTGTTGTTTAACATATTTTAAGATTTTTTATAAATTTATACAGGGTGTTTCATAAAATATGACCATTGAGTAACCACGATTCTGCTTAAACTGCTTGACGTTTAAAGCTGATTTTTGGCAAACGGATTGACTGTGGGGTGTAGAGGTTCGATAAGGAGAGGTTTCTCGAATCTCAAATTCCAAGAGGGTGAAAACGCCCCTCAAATATTACAATATTTGTTATTTAAAAACCGGTTAGTCTTCCGGGAAAACGCTTGAACAAACATAATTTATTTGGTTTTTTATATATTTTGAATTTTTTTAAAAAATCATACCGGGTGTTCCAAAAAGTTGGGTAATTTCTTAACCATCATTCTGCTTAAACTGCTTGACGTAAAAAGCTTATTTTTGGCAAACGGATTTTTCGAAAGTCAAATTCCAACGAGATGCAACCTTGATGCAACTACCCCTCAAATATTACCAAGTAATATAATAATATGGCCATATTGTTTTTTCTCATGCTGACATAAATGTGAGAAAATTTTATCCAGTTTGTATGTTAATGGAAATTCTTGCTTTGCTTTATCATAACCATTACAAATGATTAATTCGACGCGAACGAAGTCGCTGGTACACGCTAGTTTGTTATAAAAGCATCATCTATTACAATATTAAGTTTAATTATAAGAAATATTTAGATATTCTATATTTACAAAATTTAAATTCAAAAAATTCAATTTTATCTATAAAAAATTCTTTATAAATTTAAAATTCTAAATAAAATGTTATGTTTATAATACAAAATCAGTTAGAGCTCTTGAATAAATGAGAATTGTATTGTAATATATCGATAAAATAATCACAATAGACTCACCTGATTGTGGCGATTCTTCAACTTGAACTCCTTTTCTGCAATAAGAAATATAAAATGGTTAGTGATATATTTGTGCGGGAAGAATAGAAGAAAAGAAGAAAGAATTCAAAAAATGCCTATATATTTAGTTACGGATTTTATTTCTTAAGGACGGATTCTTTACCTGCCGCAATTCAGAGTATTACAGGTCCTTCTAAAGGATCTCTGAAAATATAATAGTGTATAGGTATAGTATGTTTACACGAAGAATATGTTTCAAGTTATTTTAAGTTACTTGAAAAATAACAACCTCGACAAAAGAAAACCAAAAGCTTGTCTTGTTCGTCTATAAAATATAGAAGGCAAATATAAAATTATTCTGTATTATGAAAAAGTCTTAAGGTGCGTTTAGAGTAAGTTTTGACTTCGTTTTATTAATAATAGCAATAAAGTTGATTGATGAAAGTTGAACTTTAATCTTAATTTTTTAAACCAGTACTTTTTGACATTATGTATCTTTTTGCAGTACTAAATCATGATACAAAGAATACAAGGATACAAGGTATGATATTGCGCAGGTTGGTCACTACGCCACAGGCTTTGAATAAGAAGACTAAGGAAGGAGCATAATGCTATCCATGTATTCATGCATGGTGGGCGGAAAAGCCACCATAAAAGCTCTCTAGGGTGGGGATCTTTGACAGTTCTGTTTGACGATTCATTTGACACATTTGAATTTGATTTGAAATTTTGTGGATTTGTCAGTCTTTACGGAGCTTATTTTATGTTATTTATTATTTATTCTACTACTGATAGTTGTATAAAGGTAGTAAATCTAGATGGAAATTGTGGCAGAACTTAAATTAACAGTGACACTATCGCGATTTATCGAAAAAGACTCTAAAATAGTTGGTTGTGTAGCGTGCGGTAGATCTCGGCAAAAAATGAGTGAAATAATGGAACAACTTTTCGCTAGTAAGTGACTATATAATATACATACGTGTAGTAAACCGATCATTTATGAAATTCACTTAAATTAACTAAATTATATATTTTCTGGCATTTTAGCTTTTATTTATTACTTGTCAAAGATTAGATGTCAAAGAATTTAGATATGTTAATTTGACTTACCTGCTTCAGTAGCGTATCGGATGTTTGTGTTAATAAATACTTATTATAACTTATCTATTTTTATTAGAATTATATATTTTTATAACAATTTTAATAACTACCAACATTTATTCACAACGTAAAATAAAACAACAAATTATTGAGTCTAGTTGAACGTCTAATCTACATCATATTTTTTACATTTTTTAAATAAAATTAGAACGACACTGATAAACCGGAATTTAAGTCGGCCATATTTGAGGCCCATCCCGGTGTACCTAAGATTTTTGATATGCTCCTTCCTTAGTCTTCTTATTCAAAGGCCACAGGTGATAAATGGCAGCATTGGTCGGCAAGCTCTGTCCGCCAATTTCAAATTGTCAAACAGATTGTGTCATCTGTGAAATTTGATTGTGTCAAAATGTGAAAATAATTTTTCAAATGTCAAGCTCGATAATTTGACATAACTTTTGGGGTTCTGTCCTAATTCTTCCCTATTTTAGGTCTTTTTTTATTAGTGGCAATTGAACAATATGGATATTTTTTTGTATGGCGTATGACGTCACAGGTGGTATGCGCAAACTTAACGAAATTGGGGCCGCTATCGATCATACCTTGTTTTCTTTGTACCATGGTACTAAATCTATTATTTACCTACCGTGTTATGTCGTTATTTTACAGCTAGTCCAGTTTTTAGTACCATGTACCATATACGAGATGGTATACAAATTTTATTGATGATAACTTTATTGGTGAATAAAACTCTCTGTCTGGGCACCGAATATTTACTATAAATTTTCCCTCGATTTTTCATCCACTTAACCTCAAAAGACACAAAGCACACGTAATAACATCCTTACATCTTCCAAAACGCTGGTTATTTCCTTGGGTTATTTCGTTATTTGGCATAATTTAGTACAAATTATAACTATAACCTATAATTTGACAAGACTTTGACAAGAATATTAAGCCGAGTTCATATGCATCTGTGTCCGAGCATCGTTCAGCGTTCCGTCACTCCAATAATAAATAATTTTGAAATAAACCAATAAAACTGATTAAAAAAAAGAGACGACACATGACGAATTTATATACTATACAGGGTGGTCCGAACTGTATTACGGAAACTGCGACAGCATATTCTACAGATAAAAATAAGTTAAAAAGTTCGTATATATGTAAGTTCTAAAATGCTTATTTTTGGAGATAGAGGGTGTAGAAGTTTCATTTTTATTTTGATTTTTTCCAAATAATTTATGAAGTAACGTCAATATTTGGATGAAAATTGGTATCTGGGAGTTCTTTGACATGATAAACTTGATTTTGATGTCAATACGACTCCTACTTGTAGAGGGCGCCACCTACATACTTTTTAACTGGTTTGAAGAGTAATAATTTTTGTCCTTACCTGTATAAAACTACTGAGTAAAAAAATATACATTAGCGATTTTTTTACGTAAAAAAGGTCTCTTGGTAAAAATCCCTATGAGTAATATAACTCAAAGAAAAGAGTTCTCAAGAAAGTAAGAAAGTAACTTAAAGAAAAGGAAGTTCTCGAAATATTTGGAATCGAAATTATCAATATCTGTCATCGACATAAATTAAAAATGTTGACGAAATAGTTATCAGACCGAAATCATAAACCTGAAATGTTTTTGTGCCAAAAGTTCTATTTTATCATCATTTTTTCGCATCATTAAAAAATTATGATTAATTTCAAAAAAAATTCTCATGTCAAAACTCCCAAAAATTATTTGGAAAAAATTGAAATAAAAATGCAACTTCTACACCCTGTATGTTCGAAATTAAGCATTTTAGGTCATACGTTTATACGAACTTTTTTACATATTTTTATCTGCAAAATGTGCTCCCGAAGATTCCGGAATACAATTTGGACCACTCTGTATATAAATCCATAGTTAACTTAAAAAATATTAAAAACTTTTTTTAATGAAATAAATAGACTGGTATGAACGTCATCTGCTTTTTTTCTGTCATCGTCTGTCGAAATCTTACCTAAGAAAAAAAAGAGTTACATGTTTAAGTTGTTTAAGTAAGAACAAAAACTACAACATAACTGTAAACGTCGAAAAAACACCCGAATGGTCATTTTTCGCACCATTTTCGCATTCACGAATGTCAACAAAATCATTTTCCCACACCGTATCCACCAAAAACACACTCGAGATGCCAGAATGACCGGTATCGTAGTTTTGAAACTATTTTATTACAAAATTCGTGAAGAGTTAATGACCGTGGTCGGACGCTGCGGGCCTGGGACGGATCGCACGAACAGATAATAAACAAAATCGAAAATTTTACCGACCCGAAAAGAAAATCTGCGTTGTCGCGATCGCTCTTGACCCAATTTTTCCAATTATATCTTCGTGAGCTTGTGTAGGTCGTCCGGATTTATTCCATCGGTATATTTGTATATGTATTCGGACGGCAAATGGAGAGGCGTGTTGATCGCATATTCCTCTCAATGCGTCGTTATTATGTCCAGCGCGTGGGCTTAACAGCATTTTTGTTTTTGTTTACAAGCGGGCAGATTAAGCTCGTGAAATAAAAATAGTAAAAACGGATTACTATAAAACTACGATATTCACATTCATGCAGTATCGTTTGATGAAGTATTTATTTGAAAAAAAAAATAGTGTGAAAACTGAAATGGGTTTATATTCTTCTTTATTTTGTTGCGGTTATGTAAATTTGCAAGAGCGGTAAAGTTTCCGTAGATACGGGTGATGCGTCTCATCCCTTCGAAATATTATAATACGTTTTTATTTAAAAAAATCACTGAGATCTACCGGGTGCGTCTCAAAAGTGGCTCACCCCTGTAACTTTTTTATTTTTTTCGATAAAAAATCGAGGTTTGCTCATAAATTTGGATTGATTGACCTATTTAATTGTTTTCGGTCACTTCCTATTTCACCGGAAACGACTACAACTTTTGATTTTTAAATGGCTTCCTCGGTATTTTGTTACTTTATTCGATAGAAAATAACACTCTGAATAGAATGACATATCATTTTTTCAACTTTTGACATTTTTGAATTTTGAAATTGCAACATGCGATTCATAACGACAATTTGACTCGAAATACCAAGTGTTTGATACCAAATTATTCGTAAAAAAATGCTTTTTTCAAATATGCTAATGAGTCACCCTAGTTCCATTTGAAAAAATTGAGATACCTATGATTAAAATACGATTTGAACACCTTTTAACCGATCAGGACAAGACACTAAAAACATTAGACGATCAAACCTATTTTTCCAAGGCTCCTTGATTAAAAATTAGTGTTTTTAACACATCAATATCAAAAGTTGACAACTGATATGTCATTCTATTCAGAGTGTCATTTTCTATCGATTAAAGTAGAAAAATACCGAGGATACCATTTAGAAATCAAAAGTTGTAGTCATTTCCGGTGAAACAGGAAGTGATCGAAAACAATTGAATACGTCAATCAATTCTAATTTATGTCATATACTAACATACCAAATTTCGATATTTTATCTGAAAAAATAAAAAAGTTATAGGGGGTGAACCACTTTTGAGGCGCATCCGGTATAGTAAATTAAAATTCTCAGTAAATTTAATCAAATAATTAAATTCTTCTTCTTCTTCTAATTATTTGAAATCTAGTCGATCTATCTTTTCTATGATGATGTCCATTAAAAGATAAAAGATTAAATTCACAGCTATATTTTTTTACCTAAATTTAGTTCTATTTTTAAATCGGTTTGATTATTTTTTAACCTGTTAGATTTTTTAATTTTCATTTATAAAACATAATATAAGTATAATCTGGAAACATGGGTGGCAGATTAAATTTAGAGGAAAACTGAAAAAATACAAAATTTTAGTAAAAAATCTTTTTTTTAGATTTTTAAAGTAAAATAATTGGACGATTTTGGACTTATTTGAAAAACGGTAAAAA